CTGTGACAGCACTGAGAAAGCCAGTAGGAAATAGTTTTTGTGTGCAGAATATAAAATGTATCCCAGGGGATGTGAGGGAAACATGATTAGCTGAAAATGTAAACCTTAATACAATAGAAACTATGAAGGGGGTACAGGATTTAGTAATTTCCCCCAATTTTTTTATCATTAGTGACATTGCTGGAACTGACAAAAAAAACCATCAGTCTTGTCAGTTGGCACTTGGAATATTTCTTACTTTGATAGGAGGAAGGAGGAGCAAGAGCAGTGGGAAATATCTTAATTGTCACCCCGGTGCCTGAGGTAAGGATGGCAGAAAATGCCTTTTGCAGCAGCTGGGGCAGGTGGTGGCACTCAGAGGCTCTGGGTGCAGCCCAGTGAGCACCAGAAATGTGATGACTGTCAGAAATGGCACAGACCTGTGGGAAGGAGGCAGGTTGGAGGTCAGGAATCCAGAAAGTCCACTGGAATGAGGCACAGCAGGAGCAGGACCGAGCACAGAGCAGAGGCTTCAGCCCCAGTTTCAATGTGTCAGTGGGCAGAGGATGTTTGGGGGTTCACCTGAGGCTGGGGAGGGCAATTTAGACCCTGTTGATGCACTCAGGGTCCAAACAGACTCTTGGCTTTTCTAGGCAGCTTTTATTACCAGAATTGCCTTTGGTATAGGGGGGAAAAAAACCCACTTTGCACTTGGATTAAACTTTAGCCACTTTAATTTTCACCCCAGCAGAGCTCCCTGTTCCAGACAGATTAAACAGTGCCAAGTGCTGCTCTCATTAGGAACACCTGAACAGCATATTCTTTGTGTAAACTTTACCCTTCCTATTAATTGAGGTTAATTGTAGCTTTGCAATAGCTACCCACAAGAGGAAAAGAAGAATGTTTCTACCTCTGAGCTATAATTTGTATTTTTAATTTTTTAGTGGGATTGAAGGTACCACAAGTTTAAGAACCTGTTATTTGAAGGCACAGTGCACACACAGAGGGCCAAAGACAGGTGATATCCCCCCAAAAATTTACCAAGTCAGAAAGTAACGTAGGAAAGAAAACTCCCAACATCCACACAAAGTGAGACTTGAGGAATCTGTGGACTTGGACTTGCTCAGGTTTGCAGAATAAATATTTTTGACATGAAACTGTGAAGTCAAATGTTTCAGGTAAAAGGCCAACATCACAACAGGTGAGATGGTATTGGAGGGCATTCAAACTCAGTGTGTTCCAGGCTCCAAACAAACAGGTTTTATTCTGGTTTTGGGCTGGTTTTCTTCCTTTCTGGAGGTTGTAGCCAGCATTTATCAATTGAGTTATTTTGCATTTATTTTCATTGTTTGGAGACAATAAATTCTCTGTGGCAAGAGCTGCTAAAACACTTAAGTATGGCATTTGTTGGCCTTCCTTGACTGGAGAAAAACCCCTCTAGTTTGTAATCACTCTTTGAATAGTAGTCTGGGACCCAGGGAAGCTACTTTCAGCAACAATAATTGCTGTGTCTTTTGTCCCTTCAGAAAATACAGTTTTAAGGATCTTGGTAAGTTTTTGGAACTTGCTGCTGACCAATCTGCAAATTCAATACACCTCTTATTTCTATGGGAGAAGGAACCTCTAAGGTTTTCTCAGAGACCTAGAATACCTTTTTTTTTAATTAACTAATGTAATGCAGTTCATTTTTCACTTGTTAACATAGAGATTTTTCCTGAAGTTTTGGAAGGGTGGTAGTTACATTACTCGTACTGGAAGAAAACTTCCCCCCAAATCTTAATATATCAAATACAAATCAAAATACAGCATTTGTGTGTCCTGGAGGGGGCTGATTGTAAGGAAATAACCAATAGCAATGACATTTTACTGTTGAGCTGGGATAAATCATCACCTCCATCATCTCGTATCTAAAACACTTGTGAGTCTAATAATCATTATTTTTGTCAGCCAGTACTTTGTGCTTTCCATCTCAGCAACACTCATTGTCACACAGCAATTTCACTTGTTAATCCTGCTCCTGTCTCCTGCTGAGGTCTCCTTGGCCTGTTGCTGATCCAGCACGTTCCTCCTCCTGTAGAGAAATTGAGATTTGAGCTTTGAACAAACCTTTACCTGTTTGCATCCTTGTGTTGTTAAAAAAAAAATAATAATAATCTGGCTTATGGAGATTCCCCTACTACAAATCCACCCTTAGGTTTCTACTGATGGCAAATTGCTCTTTGAAGTACAAGTTTAGTGCTTGTATATTGATGTTTTACAGCTGCTCTGTCAACAGTGTTGGGATCCTGGTCCATGAAATTCCGAGTCTGTCCTCTAAATTTGGGCCTATAATCACAGTGCAGGCTTAGCAAAGGCATTCCTATATATTCTAAAGGCTTAAAGAGAAATCCACTGAATCTTCTTGTCCCAGAAATTGGAGGGAGATCAGATTAGCCAAGAAGTAATCTGGTCATAGCAGAATGAGATCTGTCACACCTGAAGTGCCATGGACATATGGACACTGCCAGAGCTGGAAGGCAGTTTTCCACAGCTGCTTTTGGGGCAGGGTTTCTGTCAGCAGCTGTGCCAAGGTTATCCATGCTTCAGTCCATTTCTGTGCTTATTCACGAGGCACAAAGATACTCCATCAGAGAAATGCCCAGTGCTACCAACTTTTCCTCCTTGACCCCTAAAGTTATTTAGTTTGTCGGTTTGGGTTTGTGCTCTGCTTTCTGTCCACAGCAGGGAATGCCCTCTGACAGGATGTCTTGTTGGGAGCAAAACCCCAGCCCTGGCTGAGTGTTCTGCTTTGGAGTGGAGCAGTGACAGTTTGCTCAGCCTGGAACCTCCTTTCCCTTCTCTCAAGGGCCTGTTGCTGGTCCCACCATGAGGAACTGTCAGTGCTGTTCCATGTTAGTTATGACTCATCCCTGGGACTGTTTCTTTCTTTCAGAACTGCCAACTAAGTTTTTTCTGTGGTCATTCTCTGATACATTCCAATCAAATTGAGGTGGGTTACTCTAAACGATTCCATTGCTCATTTGAACAGAAATGTGTTACAGAGGCATTGTGAGGGTTAGGTGGAGAGACAGCACTGCCCTTTCAGCTGGAACAGGGGCCCTCAGCAGGGAATTCACATGTCCTGGAGACAGACAGACTTCTTCTTTGCTTCTTTTTAACTTTCTGGTGTCTGATTCCCTCCTCAGCCCTTTATGAAATGAAAGCTGCTTTCATTGCCTTCCTCGGCAAACCAGCCCCTCAATTAACAGTCAACAAATCTGTTCCTCCTCTGGTTTGAGTTTTAGGATGACACACGGTGAGAAGGTGACAAGGAGGTAAAATGCTTTGTGTGCAAGGGGTGTATTTGTGGTATTTGCCACCCCCACAGATTCTCTAGGCTTGCACAGCAGCAAAGAAGATCAACAATCACAGGAGGAATTTTTCCACTTGTCACTCCCAGACACTGAATCCCAGAATGGTTTGGGTTGGAAGTGGCCTTAAAGCTCATTTAGTTCCAACCCCCTGCCACGGGCAAGGACACCTTCCTCTAGATATGTGTGGATATCTGTGCTGTTCAGAAATTAAAGCAAACAGCCCAGCTGTCCATCCCTGCAGTCAAACTGGGGTGTTTATCCTGCAAAATGATGTTGTCACAACATTGCTTTGGAAACGTGACACTAAATTTCATTGAGTCACTTAGTTATGCTAACGTGGTTTCCTTGCAGCAGCGAGCAAATGTCTGTTACTTCTGGGTTTATCTGTGAAATTGTTGATGTTGCCATCAAAACATTGGCTTGTCAAGTGCCCCAGACTAAATTGTCCCAAATTTTAATGAGCTGAGTTTTACACCTCAGCTGGTGTAACCAGGGTTTGGTGTGGAAAAGCAGAAAAGTATTCCCTGTCACCCCCTTGCATTCCGTGTGGCACAACATGGGACTGGTTTGGCAGAAAACAAATCTGTCAAAAGCAAAATTTTCCTTTCAGATCAACCTGTGGAACTGACCTGCATGATCACTGGGTCTAACGAGGGGTGGCAGGGAGGGACAAGCACTGCCTGGAGCTTTCCCTGCCTGAAGTTGTCCTGGATTGGAGGAAAAAATCAAGATGCTCTTACCAGGAACGTTTTAGTCCCGGCTTAGTGCAGCAAAACATTCTTGCTTGTCTATTCCAGCCCATTAGACCCGGCTGCTTCTTTATTTTTCATAATTATTTGATAAATTACTTGCTATTAAAATAATTAAGCCATGCATCTTGGCATTATTTACAGTTTTTTCTCATGTTATTAAGCTGTAATTTGACCAGCAGATATGAGCATAGTTTACCATATGATTGCATAGCTTTTAATGTGTGCTTGTGCAGTGAATAGCAGCTATAAAGCTGAGTGGTTTGCCCTGTAAAGGGGCATGATGTCATCATATTTCTTTGAAAATATAAAATTAAGTATCATTAAATCCTATAATTATGGAGCTATAGGTTATATTTGCAACTTTCAAACATGGAGTCAGGTAGCCTGAGTCTTCTGCCTGTAATATTCCAAGAATTCTGTCAAAGTTGTACAAATTCAAATGTTGTGCTTTACAGAAAAGCAGATACTTCCCCAGCCCTGTCTTTCAGTGTAATTCACTTTTTGTTCTCTTTTTTTTTCCAGGAACTAAGGCTTCCCAACATGTTTGTAACAGCAAAGCAAACAAGTGTTTCAGGAATTTGTATGTTTGTGGTTTTTTTAAATAATAAAAACTATTTTAATGTCTATTTTTCTTGTTCTTTATAAATTATGTGGAATTCATAGATGATATTGTATGACTGGTTATAGTCTATTAGATTTTTTTTTTCTTTAAACAAATATTTAGGGCTCTTGATTATTTTCCTTGTCAAATTTTCTTAGTTTTTTTAAAAAGTTTGATTATTTGCTGTTTCTTTTAAACCTTTACCTACTTCTAAAATAAGTGGTTATTTTCCCCCTCGTTGTGAGTTGAACCTGATTTTTGTTACTTCTACCCTTCTAATTTATTTTTTTACTTTCTAAGACAGAAGATGTTTTAACAACTTAATCAATCTGTGATTGATTCCTGGCATTTCTCATCATCATCTGTAGTCACTTTTACCTGGTGAAGGTATGTAATGTATACACATGTGTATAATAGAATTTTTGTTCAGTGCTATATATATTTTAAGTGTTTTTAGAAAAAACTAAAAATTAATTTAAAGGTTGTAAAAATCTTAGGCTTCTTGTGTTAGAGGAATATATTACAACACCATTCTGCAGATAAGGGGTGATTCTCTGATTCTGTGGCATTACAATAAATACCGTGATGAATCGAGTGAAATAAATGCTTTGTGCCATCTACTGGTGTTGGTGGGAGCTGCGTTTCAGCTCAGAGCCTGAATTGTGACTTTAACTGAAGTGACAGTGTGGTAAAAGAGGGAAACTCGGTGTAAATAACAGGAACGTTTTGTATTCTTACCTCTTCTCTGGATTAAGTGCTAACTTGTGTTAAACACGTGCTAATTGAAACTGCAAAGTTGTACATTAAGCCTTTTTCCCACCCCTGCCTTCCCAAAGGTGCCCTACAACTTCATCCTTATTTTTATAGAGCCTGGAAACCCTTTTTAACAGCTAGGTCAGTCATGTTTTAGCAGAATTGAGCCAAGTCGAGGTGTAAACTGTGCTGTGAGTGTGAACATGGTTTGTCTGGACACGTTACAGGGAGTCATCCCTTTCTATAATAATTCCTAATTACAAGATATGTCATTATCACTTTTACTTTTAATAGAGTCTAAAAAAAACCCCCTCATTCTCCCCTATGGATTTTTCTCTGCTGTTTGTCCCATTGTTAAGCCTGGACTAATAAAGCTGCTGCTCTGGGGGACTCCAGCCTAACACAGGGTTACATAATGCCTTTTAGCTGAAACCTCTTTGTATCCTACAGCCTCATAATAGGCCATTGTATTTTCTGGGATTTTTATAAGGCTCAGATGTCACACTGAATTCTTGGCTGTTTCAGGATCATCCCTGTTATCACTGGTGTGTTTAATACATGTTGTGTACATTCTGATTAGAGATATTGCTCTGCAATGGGATTTGGTTCTTTCCTTGTTGGCTTTTCCTTATTTATCTCTCAAGGGCATAAACAGTGGATCCAGTGTCCCTCTGGTAATGGTTGTTCTATACAAAGGGAGAAAATCTGAGAAAGTATTAGTGAAAAAAGCTCTTTAACATGAGAAGTTTGTGCTTTCAGGGGTCCAGATACTTCACTTGCTTATGCACCCAAGGATTCATTTCCAGATGGAGTGTAGCCTCCAGGAGAGACACCTGGCTTGGAAATGTGGATTCTCTGGGTCTGCTTCTGGTTAAAAACACAGCTTACCCTGTCCATGAGAGAGGTATTTACCTCCTTTGCAAAGGGCTTTTAGATTTGTTGGGTAAAAATACTTTATAAGCAGCTAAAAGCATATTTTTGATCTGGTTTTGATACATATAGTTGGTGATATAATTGTATATGCTTTGAAAAGCTGGATGGACAAGATATTCAAATTCTTTGGTTTAGTTAATTTGGAATGATCTAAATGCATATGTATGTATTCATACATGTTACCTGCTACAAACACAGGTACAAAAATCAATACAGTCAATTAGCTGATTTTTAGATTGCTTTTCAAAGCATAAACTTCAATTTAAGTAAAACTGGTATTGCTTTCAGAAGGGCAGGATTTTATTTATCCAGCTATCAAAGGTGGATCAAATGCAATGATACAGAAAGGTGTTAAAATATTCAGCTTTTTAATTTTCCAATTTTTTTTCTTCTTTTGCAGGTAGGTAGATGCCCAAAACATTCATCTTTGCTTTTTTTGTGACTGATTGTTATGCCTGGGAAAATGAGCTGCAGTAAGAGCACAGTTAACATGAATTTTCATGGAGGAAAGTAGTTAATTATTGCAACATTACAGCCCCTATGATCAGAGCAGTGACTCATGCAAGTGAAACATATAATTGTCCATGTAATTTGTTTGAAGTCAGTTGGGTTCCAACATTCTCGTTCCTGTGTACAACTCTTAATTTTTCTTTATATATTTTCCCTTCAAAGTCTGCTGGAATTTGCTAGGAGGGTTGGGGTTTTTTTCATATTGTTGTTGGAGAAAAAGATATCAAGTTGTATCTGACAGCCTGAGATGGGCAAAACTGCTGCAGTTCCATGTCCCCAGCTCCAGCCAGGAGCAAGGCTGGAAATATATTTCCCACAGGACTCTGCCACATCTCACTTGTTCATTGTTTAAACCAGAAGCAGCTCCTGACTTCTGCATTCCTTCTTATCCCCCTTTTTAATCACTTTTCTTAATACTCTTGCATTTTTTGTTGTATGTAAAAGACTCTGGATTTGGGTAAGATTCACTACAGTGGGAAGTATTGTGGCAGGAATCCAAATCTAACCTACTTTGTATTTCTGGAAGAAAAGAACACTTTTACTCCGGGAAAACTGGAAAATGCTGCTCAGGTTTGAAGCAAACTTCACCTTCTTTAATACACTGAACACACTTTGTCTGCAACTTCTTGAAATCAGGAGAAAATGGCTGTGGATGACTTAAAACCTGCAGGTTTATACACCCCTTTTCTTGTGGATTCTGCTGCATCCCAATGATTCAAAAGCAGTGCTTTTTAACAAATTTATACAAGGATGTTGCTGTCTTGAGTTTCACGGGGTGTGCAGCTCAATCCAGTGCTGTGGATTTACAAATACACCCTTAATTTAATAGGAACCATTACTTACTTAGTTTGCAGCGAATTAATTTCAGATAGGGAGTGCATTTCAATTTTTTTCTTCTAAATTACAGCTATATTTTCTGTTCTGCTGCATTTTGGTCTTGCTGCCATGGCTATAACTGGTAAAACTGCCACCCAGGTTCTCTATGCCACATGTACTTATATCATTAAGGTTCTTTCATACAGCATGGGCCAGGCTTCCTTCTGAGGGAAATGCCTTAATCCTTCACTTTATGGGCTGTGTCCATGCAAAGCACAGTTCCCTTGCATTTTTTCCCCACACAGGTGGGTTGGTTGTGGTTTCTGCAGTGTTACAGAAGGCAGGAATTGAAGCAGAGCATATCCTTTAGGAATTTCATTCATTTCAAGACAATGTGGGAGTAATTCTTTCTGTGGAATTGTTTTTATGCTCACATTTAACCTTACCTTCATGTACTTGCTTTGTGATGGCATCTTTTATTTTGTTATTCTGGTGATGTGTCTTCCTTTTTTTTTGTTTTTAGCAAAGGGGTATAAAATTGGTGCCTGTGTGTGGCAGAAACTGGCAGGTTGTCTTTAATTCCAACAGCAGGGTCCCAGGGTCCACTGTTACCATAAAAACACCCACAGAAGGATTTGTGGCACATAACAGGCTTTCGTCTTGCTGAGACAAGAAAAGAAATAACCACCAATTCCTGACCTAGATCAGTCAGCACACAGTTTATTTTGCCTTGGGAGACATCATGGAGGAGACCAGCATGGAGACCAGCTGAGATACTGCAGGAGCATATGAAGAGCCAGTTGGAATGACTTTTAATCCCTTCTCTCATTTAGTCCTGAGGTTAAAAGGTAAGTTAAATCTCCTTTGGGAGGAGAGATTGTTGGATAATACTGGTGTAAGAATTAATCATAGAAATTCTTATCAGTGGTGAAAATACGCCCTTAGAACAGAATGAGCTGTGAATGCCAGACCTCCTGAGGCTCCAGGGCCTTGGAGCACCAGTAAAATGGAGAAGGAGCTGTGGCCTCTGCTCCAAGTTCACGTGGTGATGCCATAAAGTGCTTGTCTACTAAGTACTGGACCTGTTTTCAGGAAGGCTTGAAAAGGTGGAGATGTTCATGTTTTGCAGTCAAAGGCAGATTAGTTCTGGACATTATGGGAATAAGTTATTTTGGGAAACAGAGCTCAGTAATTATTGTGGATCATTAACAACCAGAAAAGTTGTTCTGGCTGCAGTGGCTCCACCACAGACATGACTCTGGGCTTTGCAGGTGTTGTTCATCCCAAGGGAGCTCTGGAGAGAAAGGATGGTGGAGCCTTGGATTGGAGGGAGTCTCGTGCTGTTCCCTGTGAGTAAAACATTCACTGCTGTCACTAAAATCAAATTGAATTAATCTCAGGATTATGTTTTGTGTCTGAGAACACAGTTGAGGCAGAACAGACGTGGTAAGGCGGTCAAGTTTAAGGTGTTATATTTCTTTTGTCATTAAAACTAAGCTCTGCAGAGGCTGAGTCTCTGGGGCCTGAGAAGCTGGGGGCAAACTGCTCCATCCCACCAATGTGGAACTTGCACTTTGTATCTTTTGCTGCCTCCTGACTGTCCAGCCCTGCTTTAGCATCAGTACAAAAGTGATCCAAGCTCCTCCTGTGGCCTCACGTGGCTCCTGTTCCTGCTTACACAGCCAGGTCTTTCACCTGCCTCCTGTGGCACCACCACCCCTTCCCATGTTCCAGGACAACAGGGAGCAGAGAGCTGGCATTTAGAGCCCAGCAAACTCTTGAGTCAGGCTTCTCCCTGCTCCTGTGGTTTATAACCTTGATCTGGGAGCTAAAAGGAGCTTGGTTATGTTAGAAGGTGAGAGGAGGACAGGTGGAGGATGACAAAGGAGTGAGCTTTTGTTCAAGGCAGACATCTGATTCCCTTGATGTGGATGAGAGCACAGCCCTCTCTGCACAGCACAGGCAGTGCCAGGCAGAGGCTGTGTGCCCTCCCTGGGGGTCTGACAGGACAGGGAGCGGGAGCTGCATTTTTTCACCAGTCAAAAGAGAAGGTTTCGCAGTAGGAAGGACAGGAAAGGGACAAATATGTGTATCCTTCCTTCTCAAGTTGTCTTTAAACACACATGGGGGGGTTATTAAACAAAAGAAGCTGTGTGGAGGTAAGACACTGCTACTCCTCTCAGCAGAGGGCTCTGTATTTAGGACCCTAATTTGCAAACTCAGTCTCAGGTGTGGGTCAGGTCAGAGATTTGAGAAGATGCCTGTTCTCAGTGTGCTCTGTGCTCGTGACAGAACAACCGGTTCGGGGCCTGATTCTCTTTGCTTTGTAGTTAATGCAACACGAACTTCTCTGGAAACTGGATCAGGGTTGTGTAGCAAATCACCTCCTGATTTCACCTCCTGTTTCATTTCTTTCACTTTTTGTCACATCGGCTTTCCTCCTCCCTGTTTTTTTTCCCGGTTTTACCCTTGTGGAGGGCTCTGGAATGCACACAAACCCAGCCCAGAGTGAGGGGCCGTGTGAGGAAAGGTCAGGCCAGCCCGGAGCCGGCTGGGCAGTGGAAAGTTACAGCCCTGAGTAGATCCCTGATCCTGCAGGAACTGCCCTGCTCCCTTGGAAACGTGATACCTGCCCGGGAGATCCCGTGTGGAAAAGGCTGAGTGCTCCTGAAAGTGCTGTTCTCATCTGAGGGGAGGAAAAGAGTTTAGGGTGATCTATCACGTCCTTTTAATAAGGGAAATTCGCTTTAATCCCCCTAATCTAAATCTGCTCTTTATGGTGCCAGAGACTGCAAATGTTTTACCAGTGTTTGTTCACTGAAAACTATCATGATAATTTTGCAGGAATAATTTTGCAGGATGATATTGCAGGAATTCCATGTGATAATTCTGCAGGAAAATGACAGCAACATGACTCCAAATGAGAGAAGTGATGGACAGAAATAGGATGGGCTTTGATAAGAACTGACTTCAGCTTTTAGTCCTTCCCTGTGTGTTGTGTCAGAGCACACGTAGGCAGCCATGCAATAATATTTGCTTGTAGCTATTTATGTTTCACAGGGACATGGAGTGGAAACCAGTGGTAAGTCCTAATGTAAAACTGTCTTTCATCCACAAGAAAGAGCTGTTTGCCCGAATTTCATTTTCTAGACATAATAGGGAATTTACCTTTCTGCTTTCACTTTTGGTAGGAACTCAATCAGTGCTGCTTAATTTAATTTTACATGACATTTTAGTAACTCCCATCAAAAGACCTGGGTGAAGGGTCATGACAACAGCCCAGCTATTTAGCACAGTTTTTCTCTAAAGGAATCAGTGAATTGTTTGACCAGAGTGAAGTAAGAATTCCCCAATGACTTGTGAATGAATGTGCTACAGACACAAAGGAGTTTCATTAACTAGTGTGAACCTCCAAAAGAAAAGGAATTACAGGAAGAGAACCTGGTGAAATGGATGTTACAATTGGAGCTGGAGCTGAGGGTCACGCAGCAGGTTTTGGGTCTGGTTATTTGCAAAGGATGGGGTTTCCCTTGCTGTAAACTGACTGTTGTTTTTCTTGTGTTTCAATAGTGCCTCTGAACTCTCATTTTAACAAGTGACAAGAATACTATGACATTCTTTTTCTTGGCATAAGAAGTGTGCAGCTTAAATTACTGAGGTATCATTAGTATAATAAGATGTCAGTATCGTTATTCCCATTTTTCATTTCTCTTTTTTCTTATTCTGTCCTTGGCTTCTTCCGAAACACTCTTAAAGTGTTCATGAGATACAGCCTTTCCCACAGTGGATACCAAAGACCTTCCTGCAAATTATGGTCAATTAATTCCTGGTAAATATGGCTTTTCCTCTTTGCACACCTTGTAATGATCCAGCTCTTTAGCAAGTATACAGACTCAATCCACCTTCCCAGTCTTTTCTCCCAGCCGTGAGTCTCTGGCCATTTACAAAGGCAATGATAAAACAGGGAAATGATCAGGAATTTGCTGATCTTGGGAACCCAGTGAGACCTAAACCAGCACTAATCTGTCCTGTGGTGAAGCTGACAGTGGTTTGCCTGTTCTGCTTAGATACAACCAATAACATTCACATATTTTATGGTGGCTGGAATAGCTGCATCTTTCTAGAAACTCGTATCAGGAAAGATAAGAGCTGGAGCAATTCAAAGTTAGTCAGACAGGGCACGTTTTCAGTTCAGGGTGATTTTAAAGTACAGGGCACCCAGTGTGGTTTTAAGTACATGGGAAGTGCATCACTAAGTGGTGACTAAACTCTGACACTGCAGCAGAGACAATTCAGAAGACAAGCAGTTGAGGTTGTCACTGTGATTTACAACCCTGCTCAGAACAAGCTGATAGCAGGTGTTAAAATTAAACTATATAGATAAGATTTAGCAATGTGCTTCACAAATGTCTTGCAAGCTACTGGAAAGTGGTATTTAAGAGCTGCTTGTGTTACTATTTTGCACACCCTTGCTTTCTGAAAGTTAACTCTGAATCTAGGAAAGAATGACAACCTTATGCAATAACTTCAAACATTGTTTCAATGCCTTTATACAGTGCTTCTGTATAAAATTTCAGACACAAATTCTACATTTAACTCCTCAAAAGCTTCTTTGCTGTGTGTGAATCCTGTTCTCTAACAGGCCATCCAGTTACCTCGTGTGGAAAGATAACTTTTCTTCAGCAACCAGATGGCTAAAATGCAAAGAAGAAGATCTCCTTGCTTTCTTTCTTTCTCTTTTGTGGGCCACACAGAAAAATTACCCTTCAATTTGAAAACCTAGTTCTCAGTTCTGGCTGCATTTAGTGGCATCACCACTGATTTTCTGTAGCATTAACTGACTCTAGAAAGATAAGTCAGCACAGAACACTTAGAGCTGATACTGAAACATGATGCTGAATTAATGCTCCATTAATAAAGGTAAGCAGGAGGATGATCTTCTGTTGCTCTTCAGAATACCCTGGGCAAACTCTGAGAAGGCAAAGTCTTTTTCTTAAAGCTCAAACAGCTCAAGATGCCTTCAAGACAAGAAATAAGCAGCAGGCAAATGAGTGTTGCTTTCCCAGTTCCAGCCAGACTCCCTGCATGCTGCCAGAGATGGTTTGTGACCTCTGGCACTCCTTTCAATGGGCTTCAGGAGCCAATATTAGCACAGGCTGCTCTCAGAGTGCCTTGGATACTATCTGTGTCCATGGAACTGGTCAGTGTGAGGCTGGCAGGGTGGCAGTGATTTGCAGGGGTTTGTTTAGCATTCCTTGGGACTGCAGAAGGTCAGCTCAGCACCACCATGACTCACTGCACTTCACAACACTTATGTTTTCGCTGTGGGTTTTCCTTAAAACCCATTCCTGGCCAGCAAAGGGGGCACAGATTGAAAGGATGGCCCACTGGTGCTGATTAGGAGTGCTTTGTGACCCCCTGGGAGATGCAGAAGGGATCTGCCACCAGAGACTGTAAAAATTGGTCTGAATTTATCTCTACAGTAAGCCAGTGGTCTGGGGGGAAAAAAAAAATCTTGCTCAGGGTAACAGATTAAAAAACCACAGTAAAGTAAAAAACTAACTGCGTTTGGGTGTAAGACTTCGAGTCTTTTAAACTGCACCCTCACCCCAAGAAAACACCAAGGTTTCTTTTTTCTTACTTTTTACTATATCAGGGGCTCGTAGCTTTCTTTTTTTTCCCCATTTAACTCTAAAATGAATATCTTGACTTTAGTTGTTTTTAAACAAATGAACAGTTCTTTATGTGTCCTTGGAGCCAGGAAGGTTGTAGAACCAATGCAGATTTTTTTCCCTGTGTGTTCACATCTCAGGTTTTTTCTCTTCCCTACCTATTCTTTAGGAATTTCATCACAGTGATGTGGAAATAGGGACATGGTTTAGTGGTGGACTTGGCAGTGCTGGGTTGGACTAAATGATCTTGGAGGCCTTTTCCAGCCAAAATGATTTTATGTTTCTAGGAAATTCCAAGTGGATTCATGATGTTTGACCTTCCTGTAGGAATACAAACTATTAGTCTCCTGTCCTGCCAACCCCAGTGTGTGGTTAGATTGCAATGTGACCCCTGTCCCCTGGGCCTGTTGTGTCACAGGGGTGTTCTAAACACCCCCAAACTTTGCTGCGGGACAGTGGAGGAAAAAGAGGAAGGTCAGGCATGTTCTGCATTGATAAACCCAACATTTCCAAAAGCCTTGTGGAGGAGGTAGTGATTCAAAGCATCCTGGTTAACTCCCCATGGCACTGGGAGGGAGCAAAGCCTGGGCTCTGTCTCCTCTTTAACTGGTGTGGGTTTTTGTGTTGTTT